GCCTTCTTTTACTTAGGAATTTTTTTTTAAGGTTCTTCCTTTTCATAGTTTTGATAGCTCATTTCTTTTCAGTGCTAAATAATATTCCATTATCTGGATTATCACAGTTTATTCATTCACCTATGGAAGGTCATCTTGATTGCTTCCAATCAACTTGGAAATTATGAATAAACCTGTTATAAACACCCATGTGCAGGTTTTTGTGTGGAGACAAGCTTTCAACAACTTTAAGTGAATACCAAAAAAGTTGATTGCTGGATCATATGTTAAGAGTATGTTTAGTTTTATAAGAAATCACCAAACTGTCCAAATGTGACGTGCGAGAGCTTAGTCCTGCAACCAAAGATGGAATCCACACTCTCGGTGGTGGAAACATGGATTCTTAAACACTGGACTCTCAGGAAAGTCCTTTAATTTTTTAAATTTCTTTAGTGGGTTTAAAACTATTTCTTCCTTCGAAAGTTTGGTAAGCTGATTTTTTTCCTAGGCAATAGTCCATTTGGCTTAAGTTTAATATTTTATTATCAAAGTTATTTATACTTTCTTTTAAAAAAATTGCTAACATGTCTATAGTTTTATGGTGACTGCAGCCATGAAATTAAAAGACGCTTACTCCTTGGAAGGAAAGTTATGACCAACCTAGACAGCATATTAAAAAGCAGAGACATTACTTTGTCCACAAAGGTCTATCTAGTCAAGGCTCTGGTTTTTCCAGTGGCCATGTATGGATGTGAGATTTGGACTATAAAGAAAGCTAAGTGCTGAAGAATTGATGCTTTTGAACTGTGGTGTTAGTGAAGACTCTTGAGAGTCCCTTGGACTGCAAAGAGATCCAACCAGTCCATCCTAGAGGAAATCAGTCCTAAGCGTTCATTGGAAGGACTGATTTTGAAGCTGAAACTCCAATACTTTGGCCACTTGATGCGGAGAGCTGACTCATTTGAAAAGACCCTGATGCTAGGAGGGATTGAGGGCCGAAGGAGAAGGGGACGACAGAGGATGAGATGGTTGGATGGCATCACTGACTCGATGGATGTGGGTTTGGGTGGATTCTGGGAGTTGGTGATGGACAGGGAGGCCTGGTGTGCTGTGGTTCTTGGGGTCACAAAGAGTCAGACACAACTACTGAACTGATACTGATTCTATTAATATTATAACAGTGGCCTCAGAAAACAGCAAAATAATAGTTATAATACCATTTGATTTTCTGGTAGATATTGTGCTAAGTGCTCTGCACACATTATTTCACATAAAAATTACAACAATCCTCTGACAACAGTAACATTATTCTTCCCATTCTCAGTTCAGTTCAATTCAGTCGCCTAGTCAAGTCCGACTCTTTGCAACCCCATGGACTGCAGCACACCAGGTCCCCTGTCCATCACCAACTCCCAGCGTTTACTCAAACTCATGTTCATTGAGTCGGTGATGCCATCCAACTGAAAGGTTGTTGCTGAATCACGCAAAGACGCCGGGGTTCTTGGCCTCCGGAGGAGAAGAATTCAATCCAGGCCAGAGACGAGGCTGGATTGCTCAGAGCTTTTGTGTAATAAAGTTTTATTAAAGTATAAAGGAGATAGAGAAAGCTTCTGACATAGACATCAGAAGGGGGTAGGAAGAGTACCCCCTTGCTAGTGTTAGCAATGGAGTTACATACTCTCCAATGATCCAAAGAATGTCTGGAGGTTGCAAAGACCTCACCAGACCTACTCCCATAATTTACATTTTAAGATAACAGAATTAGCCAGGAGGTTTAATCCAGAGACTGTCCTCAGGCAGGATACATTATTGTTATTCAATCTTAAGGAATGTAGAGAAAAAAAGTAAAAAGTTTGTCCTTTCTTCCTCCTTGAGTATTCCAGACCTCTCTCCTTGGGGACCCCTAGACTTCTTATCAACCTGCCTAGGTAAGGACTCTCTCACAGCCATCTCATCCTCTGTCGTCCCCTTCTCCTCCCACCTTCAATCTTTACCAGCATCAGGGTCTTTTCAAATGAGTCAGTTCTTCGCATCAGGTGGCCACAGTATTGAAGTTTCAAAGTGGAGTTGTTTTTGCTTTGGCTCCATCTCTTCATTCTTTCTGGAGTTATTTCTCACAGACACATCTGGGTCAGTCTCTTGTGGGGTCACTGTTTCCCCCTACAGATGAGAAAATTGAAGTTGAGAGAGATTAAGCAGTTTGAACACGGTAACAAAGCTAGTTAAGTGATGCAATGGGATTCAAACAGGGTTCTGTGACTTCAGAGACCATCTTTGTAACCACTACATTTTGTATTGTCATTAAATACATACAAGCATCACCTCGTCTATCTGGAATCAATAATGTGCACTCAGAGAATTTAGCTGGGAAGAGTAAGGAGAACATAAAAGGATGCAACATATCAAAAGTTTAAGGGCTAAAGTGAAAGTAATACTTTACACAGGAAATATTCTTAAATTCTCCTTCAATATTCATATACTCTTTCCTTACAGTGTTAACCTGCTTGGTTATCTCAAGATCAAGTTTACAAAACAGAAGCAAAGGGAAGGTGATGAAGAGCATCTGTGGATACAGGCATGAGAGCAGACAACCTGAAAATTCATAAAAGTAATGAAAGATAACAGGTTAAAGTATTTCAACTCAAGTTCTAAGGACCTTTGTATTCAGCAAAGGAGCTCTGATCGTCACAAAATTGTAGCATGCTATTTTGTTATGCCTCATGTGTAACAAAATTCTTTTGTCATCAGGAAAATGTGTAATTGTGCTCAATGTGTTTCATATTGTGGTAAAGAAAGACCATTATTCTAAATTTTTTTTTAAAGAATATTTGGTGTTTAGAGCAATAGGTTTTGATTACCTCAAAACCTCAGTGGTAGAAAGAACACCTTAGTTGGTATTGGTGTAGCTGTTACTTTAACTTGCTTCACACAAAGGATGCCTCATTTAGAGCTAAAGAAACTGAGGTGCAAGCACCTGCCTCAGTGTCCAAAAGGAACTCCCCTAAGGGTTCTGAAAAATACAGTTTTACTATACTTCTTTGTTTTGGCAGGTGAGTGGTATAAATGAAAAATAAGAACCCAGATAATTCAGGCATTGGTCTGGGATTTACAACTGTTAGTTTAGAATGCACTCTGAAGGGTTAATTGTTGAGCAGGGCACATAGTTTTTCCTTCTGGCCCACCAGAAATGGAAATTGAATCATGTCAGAAGGGCTAAATATTCACTGTAGAGGAGAAAAAGTAGGAAATGATCACCAGTTAGGAAATCTTCCTGTTTGGTAATTTATGTACTTCCTAAGGTCTCTGGTTCAAATAGGTAAGTGATTAAGATGCAATGTCCATTACATTATTTCCCTACTGAGCTATGTTATTGTATGTGAATCTGCCTGCAATGCAGGAGACCCAGGTTTGACTTCTGGATCAGGAAGATCCCCTGGAGAAGGAAATGGCAACCTACTCCAGTATTCTTGCTTCGAGAATCCCATGGACTGAGGAGCCTAGCGGGCTACAGTCCATAGGGTCACAAAGAGTCAGACACAACTGAGTGACTAACACATGTTATTGTAAGCATATGGCTACTAGCTACAGAAACCCTGTCAAGTTCCAAATGGAACAAAAGAGTTCAGCATGAAACAATGCAGAGAGGATTTCTCATTTAAAGACTTAGAAAAAGAAGAAAGAAAAATTAAATAGCAAGAACAAAATCTTGCCTGTCACAGCTGTTTAAACTACCTAGATGGTTCCCCTTTCTCCCAATCTTTCTTTTTTGTAGAAATTAATTAGTGCTTTTAATACATTTTCAATGATCACATGATAATCATTTATTTACATGAAAAGGATATAGTTGGAAATCAAGATTAACAGGAAGAACTGGAATCATATGTTTCAAAAGAATTGAGTATACCACACCTTCTATTAGGTGCTAGAAAAAAGGCAGAATGCTCACGTTATGTGTAGTAGGCGGTGTTGTTCAGTCACCAAGTCGTGTCCAACTCCGTGACCCTGTGGACTGCAGCATGCTAGGCTTCCTGTCCCTCACCATCCCCCAGATGTCCTTCACATCTCCCAAGTCCAATGAATTGGTGTGTCATCCAACCATCTCATCCTCTGTCACCCTCTTCTCCTCTGCCGTCAATCTCTCCCAGCAATGTAGTAGGTGACATTTAGTCAAACAGAATCACAATCAGGCATTGTGCACGGGAGCATAAGATTTAGGAAATAAAAATATTCAGTCTGGAAAAGTGCAAATCAAATATCTTAGATGAAAATGCCCTTTTTAAAAAATAGATTTTTAAAGGAGGATATTTCTGATAAAGATGTGAAGCCTCAACAAAGGAAAATAACTCTTCAGGGTGACTTGCTGACTAAGGACAAAACGTGTTTTTTTCTGTTTTGACCAGGGAGATGGTGTTAGAGCCTGAACAATGACACAAGCTCCCAGTTTATGAGGTATCAGAGTCACTGTCCAGCTTGAAGATAACAGTTCAAAGAAAATGCTATGTTATGAGCTATTATAGTCTCATGTCATCTCTTTGGTTATCATTGGAATCCTAAAAGAGATGCTAAAACACTTAAATGTAATCTAAACACTTACAGTTTTTAAAATGCTCACTTTTGGAAGGAGAAAAAAATATTCACACTTGGTAATATAATTTTCGCATCATTGGGAGAATTATAACTATAGTTTTTCTGAGGTCTATTCACTCATTAGTGATAAATAACAAGTCTTCTGATCCTCCAGATTATCAACTGTCATAGGAAAACCAAATGCAGAAAAATCTGAATTAACTAGAGAAAAGGGTCATGCTGAGTAACTAACTAATGTAAGTTATTCTCGCCCCACGAAATCTTTACCAAAACTTTTAAGAAGTATCTACTTGAGATGTGCTTCAGCTGCTTTTCATGCTGACTTCTGGTATAATCAAAGTTTAAGGAGTTCAAGAGAAAGGAAAGACAAGCAAAGGGACTAGTGTTAATGCATAAATTGAATAATCCAAAGCCCCAAATGATCCACAGATGACTGTATTAAACTTTGTAATTTGTAATAACAATGTCTTGGCTCCAAGAATGATCTTTAATTGGAATACCTTGTGAAATTTTATAACAGAGAGAAAGATTTCAAAAATGTTTTGCTTAAAGTAACAATAGCAAGCTAGTCAAACCACTTTGCTTTAACTCTAACATCCCCTTAAACTATAATTTATTACTTAACCAGGTATACAATAAGATGTTTATGTTATGCACTGGTTTTATTTAAAAATTGATTGCTGTCCAAAATAAAAATAAATCAGGCAATTTGCTTACAGTCTCATATTTTGAAAATAAGTAAAAATTCTGTGCAAACATACAGAAGGGGAATTTACCATTTTCATTAGAAGAAAAAATTCTGTGGGGAAAATGATAGTAACGACAGAAACAGAGAAATCTCTTGGGTAATGGTTTAAAAGTTTCCCTTCAAAGATTTTAAAATAGAAAAAATAAACCATGTAATTTTGAAGAAATAAGGTTCTAAGTTAGTAGATTTTTCATTAATTTATCAAACTTCATTCTGCAAAATTACCATCATGGACCATGCCAATGATAAGTTAAATGACTACGATGTATTATAACAATAATTTTAATATTCTAGCCACTTCATAAGATTGAGCTAAATGTTCTGTCCAAATAAAAGAAATTATAACTGACCAAACCAGTATGATTGATTGCCTTAACCCCAGATTTCTTCTGGGCAGGAAAAAAATTTGTATTGATTACTGAACACTTGAACACAATTTATAAAGCACTATTTTCCCCATTTTGGTGTCTAATGAGATACCAAATAATTCTCCAGGTTACTTTACTTGAAAGTTTGCAGTAAGACTACTTGAAGGAAGAAGCAAAAATGCAATATATATTTGCCTTCAACGCTGAGTAGGTGATTTGTTGTAGACATTATAGATGGAAAATCTGTATTTTTCCTCTACTTTTAAAATGAAGTATTACCATCCATCAATATAGTTTATTCCTCAGGATCTTACTTTTAATTCAAGTTTTCACTGAGTCAGCTCCATTTGGTGTGGAGACCTTTGTTGCCACAAAGGGTAAGCTGATGGGAGAGGACAGGATTTCTCAATCCCCTCAGCAATGGGCCGTGCCCTTTCGGAGATAAGATGAAAGCTACACTTCATCCCCTGGTCACCAGAGCCTTTATCGTTGGATGATGCAACACAGCTTCCTTGTTCTGTGCCCACATACATCTGGGGCTCCATTCTCCACGATGACTGTTCCAAGGATGCTATACAACAGAAAAAAGACATTTTGGTATTCCCATCACTTACAGTGTCCAGCAAACAAGACCCTAACAGTGGTTGGAGAGTAGACCTGAAATATGAGATACAAATAAACCTATTTTCAAGCCATTCTGAACCCAATTTTTAAAAAATTAAAATAGTTTTGGTTACTTAAGATGATTCAAAGGACTGTGCTACCTGACATTGCTATTTAGCTTTCTCTGTGAACTTTCTCTCTTTCCATTTGGCCCATAAATGACTTGAAAACAGAGCTCGGGTTTTAAATGCAGTTGCATTCCTATTCCCTGACATGGTATTCTACCCTAACCTGCACTAGTTTAGGTCAATGAATAAGTAACTTTGGAGGCACTGCTAGTTTAGCTTGTGGTTTAATGGGTTTTCCAGGAGTAGAGAAAGAACTGGTTCAGAGCCAATCTTGAGCTTTTATCTCATTTTCCACTCTACCTCCACACCTCCAGTCTCTACATGCTCTTTCATAACAGGTATTAAACACTTATGAGCTGGCTAGACATGATTGGGGATGTGATGACTCATATTGGGAGACAGGTATATGAGTGGCTTATACAGAATGGGTCAAACTGCAACAGAATGAGCAAAAAGAAAGAGTCTGTAACTTATTCCTGAAAATACTCAGCTAACTGAGTCCTCAGTGTTTTCTGGGCTTAACCATACTCTTCCATTTGCAAAATTACATTATACATACCTCTAAAGAAAATAACTTTCATACCAAAAAATTATTTGCTTTTAGCTCCTCAAGAAAAAGTACTACGTGGAGGTATTCCACTACTTTCAAAAATAACAAAACCCTAAGCAACTTTTGAAAATGCCAAATATTTTCATCATCCAGGTTTAACAACACATATTAAAACTACAATAAATATTATATATAGTATATAGTTTATATGTTATTAATATATGTGTATAATATGTAAAATATTGACTGTAGTTTTAATGTTCAATTCTGAAGTATACTTTAGTATCCAGAGCCTTCCTCAAATTAGGAAATAAAGTCACACTGAATCTGGGTTCATGGCAACATGAATGAGAGGGTGGTTTGGAGTGAGTTTTCCAAAACAAGAACCCAGTGTTCTTTCTACAAGGAAGTTCTAGGAGGAGAGAATGGTAATCAGTGCATTTATAAAGGGCAAATATCAGAAAACATAAGTGGGGCTGAAGTGCCTCTCATGAGCAGAGAAACCATTGTCTCTAAGTTTTTTCTGAACTTTCTAAAGGTTTATGATACAAAGTGTATTCAACCTTGTCCTGTGAGTTAGGAAATACGACTATGATATATATCTAAGACCCAAGCCCAAAAAGCTTATCATAATGCAACTCTTGGTAAAAGTATTATGTCAAATCATATCTAACTCCATTTCTACCTGAAGCAGATTGAACTCCACAACAGCCTAAAAATGTGAGTTGATTTTATGGCCCTTCTTCCAGGGGTCTGACTGGGTTTCACAGATGGCCAGGCATCTGGCTGAGGGCTAGACCCTAATAAGACTTATATAGTCCTCAATCCCTAGGAGAATCCCCAGATCCCTCAATCTCTAGGACAATCCCCAGATCAAGTTAAATTCACAAGAACCCTTTATTCTAGAACACGAAACACATTTTCTTGGAGTCATTTGCAGTTTCACTGGAACCATACTGACAACAGCCAGTATAGATCCTAACCCCAAGGATGACCTCAAACTCCAGTGTAATTTAGAATAAGGAGGCACTCACTGTGTGCTTGCTTAAAGGGATCACAGGCTGCTCTGTGACCAGAGTTTTGACTGAATGTGGTAACCTCACATAAGACAGGAATCTGGTCCAAATATATTTCTCTAAGCTCTATGGCATTCCAATACAGCCAGTTGCTCACATAGCTTATACAATTTCACTATTGCTTCTGTGCATAGATGAGACTTTCCACCCTCAGGGAAATGTCAAGGTCCGGATAAAGATACTCATTCACCAGGATCCAGGGGGGAAAACTGGCCAATACCCACTGCCAGGCCTTCCGTGAGGGCCTCGGGTGGACTCCCATTCCCGAGGTTTTGATATTCCTTTACAACCACGAACTGCAGAGAACAAAAGGGAGAGAGAAAACACTGTCAAAATCCATCAATTATCTCAACATACATTAAAGTCTATGGCTTTGTAATGTTCATCCTATAGGAGGGGAAAGCCAAAAGGAAGGCCCTATCAACTTTGTTTCTCTGGCTAGTGAAGGGTTCAGTTTTCAGTGAGAAGCCTTATGTTACTCTCTGTTAAAGCAACTAGGCACTACTAATACCTTTATTGAAGAATCTATTCTAATTCTGGAATCCCAACTTTTGGGCCATGGATCCCTCTAGGGACTACTTTTTCCCATAAGCAACCCGTGAATCTACAAGAGGTCTAAGGGTTGCCCATAGACCAGATAAATAATGCCTTTTATATGTTTCTGCTCCAACTTTCCAAATATGTGTGTAGGTGCTTAGTTAATAAAATTCACCTAAATATACTAAGGTCTGAATAATTTGGGCTCATTAGTGACTAATAAGAACTCATAAATGCAGCTACTATTTTTCAGGGATCCATGAAATGTCTTCTCATGCTTGAACAGCTTGGGAACCAAAATTCTAAAAGACTGCTCCAGAAAATAACATTATTTCTCTTTGGTCAACAGAATTATCATTTATGTCATTGTTTGTACTGTCCACATTTGATTGGGACTTGCAACGCAGGCTGACCAGAGTTAATTGGCTCACATTCACAAGAGATGAATCAACCTGCAATGCAGGAGATCCCAGTCCAGTTCCTGGGTCAGGGAGATCCGCTGGAGAAGGGATAGGCTCCCCACTCCAGTATTCTTGGGCTTCCCTGGTGTGCTCAGATGGTAAAGAATCTGCCTGCAATGCGGAAGACCTGGGTTTGATCCCTGGGTTGGGAAGATCCCTTGGAGAAGGGAACAGCTACCCACTCCAGTATTCTGGCCTGGAGAATTCCATGGACCATACTGTCAATGGAGTTGCAAAGAGTCAGACACGACTAAGTGACTTTCACTTTCACAGAAGATAGATTAGAGATTAAAGTATTAATAGGTCAAAGATAAAAGGAAAGAAAAGAAGTTACCCCATGCCCCAGGATGAAGGATGCAGTTTGGTCAAGTCCTTCCTTGCCAATCAGTAACACAGCAGAGAGGATGCCCCTAAGTCTCTGGTTGATTATGCTCCATTGGTTCAGAAACGGGCCCTCTACATAATGAGCCCATAACTCAGAAATGTAGTGAAGAAAAGAAAAAAAAGTTTCCTTGATCATATTTCTTTTTTAGAAAAGTATAGGAAGAATAATGAATGGTTGATTGGGGGAAAAAATGTTGCTGAGAGAATGGTGAATCCCCTGAACACATTTTCATCTTCTTATTTTCCACAACACTAGGCATCCTTGCCATCTCCTCCTCATCAATAGTCTCCTGCAGTAACACAATGCAAAATTAATACATGACCCACTGTTTAAGGGCACATGCCCATTTTTCTCACTGGAGAAAGGAATGGCAAACCACTCCAGTATTCTTGCCATGAGAACCCCATTAACAGTCCAGAAAGGCAAAAAGATATGACACCAGAAGATGAGCCCCCCAGGTCAGGAAGTGTCCAATATGCTACTGGGGAAGAGCGGAGAAATGAATGAATGAAGAGGCTGGGCCAAAGCAGAAATGACACCCGGTTGTCTGGCTCAAGCCAGACTTCAGCCCTCTGCACTGCAGATTTTCCAGCCACATGTCTCTCTGCTAGAAGAACACAGGTTCCAGGATTCTGGCCTGGGTCGGGGAAGGCAGCTGATGGAACCAAATTTGTTTCTGCTGCTTCTCCTCCTCCTTCAGGTGCTCCCTCCCGTGCTCACTGATGCCGGCAGCAGCAGTTGGTATCAAGACGGTTCTGACCACTGGGGGTCAGCCTCTCACCATGGCCCTGTGTCCGAACGCTGCTCACAGCAGCAAGTGTCTCTGAGTTTTTAAATAAGAAGATACGATGAAGTCGAAGGAACTGCTTAGCTGAGCTATGGCATGAGACAAGTGCTCGGGGCTGGTGCACTGGGAAGACCCAGAGGGATGGGGTGGGGAGGGAGGTGGGAGGGGGAACCGGGATGGGGAATACATGTAAATCCATGGCTGATTCATGTCAATGTATGGCAAAAACCACTACAATATTGTAAAGTAATTAGCCTCCAACTAATAAAAATAAATGGAAAAAAAAAAAAAAAGAAATCAGCTATTGTCATTGTAGCCATGTTCCTTGAAAAAAAAAATAAAAAGAAGATACACACAGATTGCATTTTTCCTTCTCTCCTATGATTTAAATAAATGAACTAAACTTGCTACCTAAAACCTGAAGGAAGTACCATATAGACTAACAATGAAATCAGGGTAATTAAGGATTCCATGAGTCATGAAGCTTCAAAGATCTGAGGACATTTCTGTAACTAGGTTCACTCAGAACCACACATTTAGGGAATCACTAGAAACAGAAAGGGCCTTACAGACCATGTAATCCAAATGCCTTGGAGTCCTGATGAGGAAACAGGGGTTAAGTGACTTGCTGAAAATTAGCCAATTGGTAGAAGAGTAAAGTCAGAATTCTCATTTCTTATTGCATTTCTGTACTCAAGTTCAACCAAAAAATAAGTACACACTCAATGCCTACAATGGGCAGAGACAGACGGTTGCCTGTCAGTCAAAAGCACAGCCACAGGAAAGCTATTCTCTGAAATGCATATGGGGGTAGAGGCAGGAAGAGGCGATATGGGAAGGACTCCAAGTGATGCCCTTGGCCCTCCAAACCCCCTTAATAAGCTTTTCTCTATGTGCCCACAGGTTTCACTTCCCCATGGGCCTGCCATATCCAGCTTCTTCCACAATACATACCACAAATGATACCAACCACACACACTGAACCAGTCAAGGTGTCTCTGGCAGGATCCTGGAAGTGAAATTCCAACCACTGCAAGAGATCTTGTCCCATCTCTGCCCTCTAGTGTTCTAAGATCAGTGACTGAAGAGGACGATCTAGGAAGCATTTTGAACTTTGCAGTTACTATGCTTTTTGGAAAACATACAGGGTTATCAGACAAAATACATGATACCTAGGAATATTTGAATTTAAAATTGAACTTTCAGTATTAGTACAAGGTTAACTAGGTGTTCTGTATTTTTATTTGCTAAAGCTGGCAAACTCTTTTGCTGCTGAAGTTTAAGGACTGAAAATATGTGTAAGAAAAGAAGTTTTAAGAAAATTAGGAGCATAATCTTCAGTTTGTAAGACATCCATCTGAAAGGGATCACCTAAAAATTGGGAAAGACTTTTCACAAACACATAAAAAGCTAAGTTATAGCAAGAAAGTACATGATAGAGAAAAGGATCCCATAAATATCTTGTGCCATTACATTATGGCACTAGTTTAGCTTGTCTGATTAATTTAGGACACAGTTCCCCCAGCCCCACTGCCTACCCAGGACCTCCCAGTTGTTGTGGTGTTGGGTAATATTAACACCAGCTGGAAGTTATAATAGGTTCCAGTCTCTCTCAACTCAGCAAAGAATGAGGAAAAATGAACTGGGGTTAATATAAAGCCAATTTCTTGCTTCATGTACTTTGGTTACATTACCCAAGGTTGGGGGCGAGAAGGCATCCCAGCCTCGCCACCTGCAGGCCTGCTACGGATCACATCTCCGCTGGGTTCTTCACAAGGATTCTTTGGATTTTTCAATAGCCGCTTCTGAGTCCTGCAATAAAGCCAAAGTGTGAGACGATCTCAAAACAAAACACTAGCCCATTCATCGATGGTCAGACAATTACTTTTGTTACTGAAATTTAGGTACCTAAGATGCATGAGAAAAGAGAATTATTAAGGAAACTAGGAGCATAACTTCGGGTTTTAAAGCCTTCTTTCCTGCATTATTTTACAGATTATGTTCCACTATTTCCAAGGTACTGTGAGAAGGGAGGAGGGGGGCATGGGAGGCAGGGGAAGTCATGCATGCATTCACGGATTTATCGGCTAACTGTATCCTAGGCTTTGTCCTAGTACTGGAGACATAGCAATGGAAAAACAACAAAATCTCTGCTTAAATGGACTTTGAATTTGTAGAGAGGGGAGTGCCTATTTTAGAAACACTATCACAGCAATTGTGTGACACACACACCATTAACTCCATTTTACAACTGAAGCCACTGCGGTTGGAAGATAGTAGTGATGTACCCAAGGCACACGGCTACCAAGGGCAGCCCAGGGGCTGGGTCACAGTGATGGGCCAACTACAAATTGGCACGTGCCAACTACCTCTATAAGGATTAAGTCACGAGCTGCTGAAGCTGCTGACCTTCAACACCCCCGGAAAGGAGTTCAGGGTGAAGAGCAGCAGTGAAGCACTCTGTGCTCTGGGAAAATCTGGCAGGACACATCTTCAGAGAGTTGAAAATTTTTTCAGGAAAAGATTTTGTGAACCAAATTCTTGCATCTCCTTGTACCTAGAAAAATGCTAAAGTTCTTCATGGTGATGTTTGCTCCTCATGACTAGCAATAACCTTCTGCAAAAAATAGGTGCTTGATCACACGTACTCCCCTCACCTTCACCAAAATCACATATATTCTGACGTTCCCCCCTACCTCTTTGGAGCAGTTTCTAGAGCTATCTGAACTGCTCTCTCCTGAGCTGTAGTCTTCATTTTGCTCCAGATAAAACTCAACTCATAACTCTCCTCTTGTGCTTTGCTTTGTTTTGCTTTCAGTCACCAGATATAAAGCCTAGGCTCCATCCAGGTCTATGCTAGGCATGGTGTCATGCCCTAGGGGAGGGGGTAAAAGGAAAGGAGATCTAACAGGGAGCCCTGTCCTCGGAGCCCACCCTCAAGAGGGAGAGAGACAGGTACATCACATCTGAGCAGCCATCTAAGGGAAGGCAATGAAGGAATGGTGGTGGGGAAGACTCCAGCCAGCCTCGAGATTCCCAAACTACCTCAAGGCAGATGGTAGCTCAGTTCCCTTTGGGAGTGCAACCCTCAGCCACACAGGCCTGTCTGCCCATCTGAAAGTGAAAGGTGCTCAGTCGCGTCCAACTCTTGGCGACCCCATGGACTTTAGAGTCCAGGCAATTCTCCAGGCCAGAATACTGGAGTGGGGAGCCTTTCCCTTCTCCAGGGGATCTTCCCGTCTGCCCATCTGAGGAAGGGCAATAGGAAGATAGGGGCTGCTCTGGGAGCCCATCCCAGGAGCTGTGAATTCCATGTAACAGATGGAACCCACTGGGAAATGGTGTGGGTTATTATTTTTAGCCAAAGGCATCAAGGAGAACAATTGAAATGATTAATATAAACAGTTCCAAAGTTTCAAGGTATAGTTTGTGGAGCATACTACTTCCTGTTGATTTTCTTACAAAGCAGGCCTTTCAAGAAATCAAGTTTCATGACGTAATTACATTACCATACTTTAAAAAATTATTTAGTTACACAAATAGCCTTTTCAGAGATACACAAAACAAATGTGTTTGGACAGTTAATCTAAATAAGACAGGTAAGACTAATACAAAGGGAGGAATAACTGATTTTATCTCTTTAAAGAAAATTGCTTAACACACCTAACTGACAAACTCAATGCTGAAGTTATATTTACTGGTATACATCAGTGATGTGGCAATATTTAAGTTGGCAATTTTAATTTGATCCCAAGAGAATCTTACTATGTTATAGTCCACAGAATAAGAAAAAAAAAAAACTTAATAATTATAGTACATGTGGACTTGTTTCTTCCTTCCATTTTTTTTTTAACCAGTATTTGCCAAACATCTGCTTTTCTTTTGACATTGTCTAATAGATGAACAGCTGATTATTCAGTATTCTGTCTACAAACATCTAACATATTGATTGAACACTAGGCTAAAAAGTACAAAGTTTACTGACGGATCACTGAATTAAAATGTCAAATTTTTGCCCATGAATCCTGTGTCTCAAGATAGAAAAGGGTTTGGAATGTGGGACTCCTTGGGGAAGCTTACCGTTCTTGGAAAATCATAACAATAAGAACAGAAAGCATTTATAAAGCCCTAAATTAGCCAGACAAGCTACAATAGTGCATAAAATGCTTTTCAATATTGAGGATAGTGGATGACGCTGGCCTACTTTTTAAGAAAGTGGAAAATAAGCAAACAATGTGATGCCCAATGTAATGGGTTGGTTTCTTTTGTTTTTTTTTGTAATAAATATGTAAATACTATTATTCCACAGTTCTAAGCTTTTAATTGGAAATGATTAAAAACACAAACTCCAAGAACCAGAAACTTCCTTCCAATTTAGGAAAGATACTGATTTTCTTGAACAGAAGTTAATATTTTGTGGGAAATCAACTCAATGGACAGGACTTATGAAAAATTATAGTTATGCAGGCTGGGGATGGGGTAAGGGGAAGCCTGTGATGCTAAAAGAAAAAGGTAGAATATAAAAATGCATGCTGTTAAATAACCACCCAATAAACTACATCGGTCTGTGGACAAAGACTGGAAAGGAACAATAAAACCACTGATGTTTTAGAGCAGCGAACCGTTGGGTCATTTTTGTTTTATTTTCTTTTTACTGTTCTTCCAGTTTTTAAGTGAAATAAGTACGTAGAAGAAGCTCATCTGCAAGAGGCCCTGGGAGGAGCTCGAAGGAGGCAGAAAGTTCCAGTGGAAGCAAAATCACCTGTGGCAGTGAGCTCCGCACAGCCCCAGGAGCAGCAGGAAAGCCAGCACCACACGCAGACAGCCCCGGGCTGATGCTCCGCTGCGGCCCACGGCCAACATGGTGCAGATCCCATCCACCGCAGGCTGTGTACTCACATGGCTTGCCGGTATAGCCTACGGGATAGCTGTGACAACACACAAACAGAAGTCAGCAGTGAGCCATGGCCAAAAACGCTCTTATTTTTGTACTCACTATCCAGTCATCTCTCAGCCTCAACACTTCAGCCTCATATTTTGGGAAGAATATGGAAAATCCATATTCAGGAGTCAGTTGCTGCTGTGTTCATCACTCAGCTGTGTCTCACTCTTGCAACCCCACGGACTGTAGCCCACCAGGCTCCTCTGTCCATGGGATGTTCCAGGCAAGAGTCCTAGAATGGGTTGCCATTTCCTTCTTCAGGGAATCTGCCCGACCCAAGGATCGAACCGTGTCTCCTGCACTGGCAGGCGGTTTCTTTACCACTGAGACACCAGGGAAGCCAAACGGGTCAGTTGAAAGCACTCTTATTTACAAGTTAATGCAGCATAGACTTCCCCATTGGTCTGCAGGCCCTGGGATTGATTTGCGGTTATTTGCGTACCACCTCTATAAGGCACTGCAGAACACTGATTAAAGATCAACTTCTGTTAAAAGAACAACTGCCTCTCTCTAAGACTAACACAAAGCAACCCTGCCCTAGGAGCAAAGGGAGTTTTCAAACAAATGTTTGGCCAGATTGCAATCAATATAAGTCAAAGGAAGGAAGAATTTGAAAGCAGAGTCTTTTACTTGAGACCAGGTTGTAAAAGAATGTGAGTAGCCTCTGAACAGGAAGCAGAGGAAACCATTTTTCTTACTTTTTTCCTTAAAAGTCATAGATCCAAAAGGTCTCAGTGGTAACAAGAAGCATTTACTTTCTTCAAGAGAGAAAAACTTAAGTGCAGGGAAAAGAGGCAATCACCAACATCCTGCTGTTCATTAGTGAAATTGTTACTGGATTATTGTTGTTCGTATGGGGCTTCCCTGGTGCTCAGACAGTAGGTAAAGTGTCTGCCTACAATGGAGACCTGGGTTCGATCCCTGGGTTGGGAAGACGCCTTGAAGAAGGGAATGGCTGCCTACTCCAGTATTCTTGCCTGGGGAATCCCATGGACAGAGAAGCCTGGCGGGCTACAGTCCATGGGGTCTCAAGAAGTCCAAGACACAAGACGGGACAGAGTGACTAACGCTATCAGCAACCAACACATGCTGTGAACTTTTATGTGGAAGTAAATGAAGCAATGCTGCCATCTACTGGGAATGCATGCTTCCAGAAACTCTCAGGATCTTGAGTAAAATTAATTATTCTTTGAAAGAGCATAAACTTTAAAAATAGTCTATTAAACATTCTGTGATGCTCGCTTGTTAGGCATTGCTTCCCCTTGGCCCTGGATCCACTAACTATATACCCATGGCCCCATTTTATTCCAGAAGGAGATGAAGGAATGAATACACAGAGTACTGACATCAGTCCCCATGATGCGAAGAGGCAGCAAGGGACAAGCTTTAGATGAATCATGCATCTACTGCATGGATGAAGCCCCAGAAGAGATCCCAAGTCTAGTCCTAGCTGTACCTTGAATTAGTCACAGGAGCTTTGGCAAGTCACTTTCAGAGACAGAAAGGGAAAGAAACTAGCTTTTATTATACACTTTATGTTTCTGATACTGGGATAGTTAGATAGCATCACCGACTCAAGGGGCATAAATTTGAGCAAACTCCAGGAGATAGTGTAGGACAGGGGAGCCTGGTGTGCTGCAGTCCACGGAGTGGCAGAGTCAGACACGACTTGGCAACTGGACACTGGGCACTTTTGTTTTGTTCTCAATGGTAGATTTCCATTTTACAGATGAGGAAAGTAAGATGCAGAGGAGTTACATAATTTGTACCAGGTCACACAGCTAGTGAATGGCAGTTTTGATTCAAATGGTTCTCTGATTTCAAAGTCTGTATTCTTTCTACTACATTGGGCCACATCCAAAGAGTTTTAAGTTCCATGCGCCTCTGAAAAACTTCTTCTAGAACTGACTCTGCAAGAGTGTGCACGATCTGAGTATAGGACCCACGGAGGACCATCCAGTTATTCCTGGCTTTCCTGATGCTGTTTTAATTCTAGCTGTCCTTGGCTATACACATCTACTATTATCACCTAGCAGCCGTTTTTAAACTGGTGGATATTAACAGGGCACACCTCCGATCCTCCCAGAGATCGTAAAGTCTCAAGTAATAAGTCAAGCACATGATAAGAGGTCTGGAGAGCTTAGCAGGCTGTAATATCAAAGCCTTTCAGCCTTATAAGGCCCAGAGCAATCAGCCGGCATTTCACAAGGGCAGGCCACACATCACTAATTTTTTAGGTTTTGATTAATTCTTATCCTACATTAAACAGAAAATTTCCTAGCCGAATAAGTTTGGTTCCATGGTCAAACAATTTCAAGTTCTGAACTAAACAAAGGTCAACAAGACTTTTTCACATGTTGCGGTGATCATGAATCAAGAATTGAAGGCTAGTGAATGCAGCATTTCTTAAACTTGGCCACTCAATGCTTTTCTCATGAAACATTTCACAGCATCATAGTTCTGGCAACTTGGGCTGAAGAAGACCTAGAGGCTGTGGGTTGGTTCAGAGCCAAACCAGAATAAATGAGGACCTCTTCTGTGCTCAAGCGGTTTGGAGTTCTCTGAGAACCCCCTGAGCAGGGGCCTCTGAGGAGGCCTGTGGGTGTGGAGACTTCCAGTTCTCATATCCTCTGCGTCCCCAGGGCAGCTGGGAGTTCCTAGATCTGGGAGGGGAGCTTCCATTGCCTCCAAGCAAGGGAGGAAGAAAGCTCCTTTACTAGCCTGCTCACAACATTGTGAACAGTCTCTGGGCTTCCCAGGTGGCGCTAGTGGTAGAGAATCCCCCTGCCAATGCAGGAGATGCAGACGACCTGGGTTCAGTCCCTGGGTCGGGAAGAGCCCCTGGAGGAAGGCATGGCAAGCATTCTGGTATTCTCGCCTGAAGAATCCCATGGACAGAGGAGCTTGGTGGGCTATGGTCCATAGGGTCGCACACAGTTGAGCATGACTGAAGTAACGTAGCACTCATGCATACATGTGCAGGATGATGCCTGTGAGATATTGCTAATAACCGTTGGAATGGGAAGTACTCCCTAGAGATGTTTTCTTTTTATGGAATTAAAAAAATACAAGGTGAGGTCATTGGAGCACGGAAGGACAGAAGGGTTGGACATCTGATAAATCCATGTTTTTATTAGATATAGAATTCAAAACCAAAGTTATGATCCAGATTAATGGAAACTCTGGCTATATTTTAAATATTGCTTTTGATTAAAGGTGCTTAAATTTAAGTGTTAGATCCAGTTTGTCATTTTGTAGCAAGTAGTATTTAAAATATTACTAGAGGAATATGATATTTTCATCAGGTTTTAATGACAGAAACAAAAGTAGTGTGCTAAGGAGTTCACAAGTCATTTAATGAATTGGTGCTATCAGTTCCAAGTGAAATTAATGTGCTAGCTACAATACATAATTCTGCAATACCCTTCTTCTTCTTATAATGCCTTTAATAATCCAAAGTTAAAGTGTCAGAGAGAAACATAAAGCATTGCTAGGATACTTGTTTTCATAATTTCATTATTGGGAATAATAAAAAGCCATGAACAGATGAAAACAATTTGATCCTTATTATCAAAATCAAGAATGATTATCATCAAGTACTAAATTTATCTTAGGTTAGAAAACCACAGCATGAAATATGAATATGAAAACAGATTTCTACTAGGACTGAGTCATTTTTGCTAATATTCACAAACATTTTCCATGATTTTTGTCAGGATGACGTGATTTCTAATGCAAGACCATATTCTTCATCACACAATATAATTTATTCTAGTAATTTAGATTATGTTTCTACTAATTATTATTAATAATCAAAGCTTTTAAGCTTATAGCATCTACTCATGAGGATCAAAGTATTCTCTCACTCCATCATTAGGCACAGAGAAAATTATCACTGAGTCAGGAGGCCAGCCAGAAGAGACCTACTTATTTTTCAGTATCTACCCATTCCCTCAGATTGCCTTCAGATTATAAAAGTTATTAAAAGTAAGACTGGATACAGAACTAGGTCTTCTGGGTGTGGTTTTACTAAAGGCTGAGGGGCAGGGTTCCTGAGCGAGTGTGGTGGGAGCATCTCCGAGTTCCGGGGCGTCCTTGAACGCCCTCTTCAGGTTGACACATAACCCACCAAAACCCTCATGGGGACACAGGCAGAGCAAAGGCAGCCAGGACTGCATTTATCAGTTGTTAACAACAAAAATGCAAATACCAACTATTGGGATATAGAGGGAGAGAAGTGGAAGCCCAGTGTGACTATATGTAACACTTTTTAAAATTTAGAAACAGGACATTGATGCTCCCGATCTATTTGGCATAAAATAAAAGTTTTAAGACATTCTCTCAGTTTAATTCCCAGACTGTACCAGTAGTAACATCAAGTTATTCAAGTCAGAGGGAAAATCACCCAATTCCTTAAATTTTATATTTACCACTGACAGCTGGGGTGTGTGTGAAATATTCAGAAAGAGTGTAATACACACATTATATATATATATATATATATATATATATATATATATATATGTAAATACAGATTTACATATATGCATGTGTGCTCAGTCATGTCAGACTCTTTGCGACCCCTTGGACTGCAAGCCCACGAGGCTCCTCTGTCCATCTCCAGGAAAGAATACTGGAGTGGGTTGCTACTTCCTCCTCCAGAGGCTCTTCCCTGACCCAGGCACGGAATCCGAGTTTCCTGCATCTCCTGCATTGGCAGGCGGATTCTTTATCTCTGCACCATGTGGAAAGCCCAGATTTACATATATAAATTACATATATTTTTCATTATGGAAAAGTTTAATTATAGAAAAATCTCAATATAAATTTTCTGAATTCACTAAAAGTTATGGGCTGCAATATCATCTCTCTGCAGAAAAACAGTTTTACTGGCAGGCAAACAGGGTGTCAATGCCAAAATATATACAGAGACCACCATTGAGGCAGTACCCTTCATAATTCGGGGAGCATTCAGGGAAATGATTTTTCAAAAAATTGTGTCCATTCTTCCCAAGGTGAGATGGCGGAGTAGAGTCTAGAAGAATCAAAGGCATTTCTTTTACTTTCTGAAGTGACTGGAGTCTTTCAGATATCAACATCAGGAACTAGTTTCTGTGAACAATTTGTCACATGGAACAATAATTTCACTTTCTTAACCAGACTTTATGGAATTTTCTACGGAGTCAGCCATTTTGCTTAAGGTTCAGCACTATTTGACATAAAGTATATTGGAGGCAAGAAAGAGAATGGTCAATCCTAAGACCACATGAACCCTGAGTACAGATCTCATTATAAAAGCCATCTGTCATCCATAAAAACACACTATGTAAAACAACAGTTAGCTTAAGAGGGTCTCACTGAACAACTATCTCTCTTCATGGTTTATAAGCCACCCACCACTATACAGTCCATTACCCCCAGTTCCCTGGGAGTCTCAAAATTTTATCCCACAGGATACTTGCTTCTAAAAGCAATTTAACTTTCAGGGGAGCCCTCAAAGACAGGACTAGCAACTTTGACAGAAAGGAAATGTTATCATAACAGAGGGCATGCCCAAGTGGAAAAGTCCCTTTTGTTTAATGGTTCACTGCTCTTTAAAGGAAAAACATTAGGGTGTGTAGCTGACTATATAAATATTAGGAGTCTTTCAATACCTCTAAGAAGAGCAAATTATTTGAGAAAATAATATACTAAAAAACCAGAGCCCCAAACAAGTGCTGAATTCTCCTTTTTCAGGATGTTTTCTGCTTGCAGAGCTGAGATGGGTAAATGGCTGGCAGTGAGTCAGCTGATTCTGGCTTCTGGTGTCTATGAAGCCAACTCCCCCGCCACCCTCCTACCACCCCTCCCCATTCTGGAATGCTGATAGTGAGAAGATACTGCTCTTGCAGGCGGGTTCGGGAAGCAGAAATGGACTATAATTAACAATTTTAAAAGTTCTCATTCAGCTCAAGAAATACTGACTTTTTAAAGTAATACTTTAAAATCCTTGAAAGTGATTCAAAATGCCAGAAGTCCAGACATCCTCCCCAACCTGTCTAGCCCTGCCAAGTTCTCCCAGCGGCCCCCAAAATCAACATTACGAGTCAGGACATTAGTTGAAGAGTTAAAGAGAACCACCTGTGTTCTCACCTACATTGCATTGTGAATAATAAAAAAGGATTTATTCCAGATGCTATTAAATTAAGAAAACTTGGACCATTTCATTCTCGATCCCATCATCAATCTAATCAGGAAAGGAAACTCACCAGCCTGATTGAACCAAATGATTTCTCGAAGCTCTAATGAAAACACAGTTAAGTAGAGATTTTTTTTTGGAATCAAGTCCCTCCCCTTGGATCCAAACCACACACCAACCTACCAGGGCAAATCTGTCCAGGCTCAGACAAGTTGCCAGCACACGTGCAAGTATAGTTTCCCTCCATATTTGTGCAGGTGCATTTTCCCCACAGCTGTGCACGCCCAGTCAGCACTCATCAATATCTGCCAGGAAAAAGGAGTAGGAAAGAGAAAAGTGAGGTGCAGAGGAGATCAGAGGCTCATATAGTAATTGAAAAACCCAATATTCTGGAAAAGAAGCATCTTCAATTTGTGTCATGATACATGTTATCAGAGCCCTGTACATTTTTAGATTCAAAAATTCTATTATCCATGTTGGAAAGAGAGATGAACTGGGTCCCTGGGGTGCATACCCATGCAGTTAAACTCCTGATGTCAGGCTGGAAGCTTCCCTACTGTTTGGAAGGAAAGGAAACTTCCCAGCACAAATAGCTCCGTGGGAAAGTTGGAGATGGTACACTACCTCTAGGTAAACATTTACAAGTTCAGATCCTATTAAATAAAACATTTTGCCTTTTTAACACAGATATAAATGAAATCATCTCTTTCTTTCCCAACTACCCATCTTTTCTATTATCAGTTATCACCACCGTAACCTTTAGGTCCTTCCTCTCTTCAATTTCCCATTCCTGTGAGAGGAGTAGGCTTCCTACATTCCCCGTATCCCATCTCTCCTCTACTCCTCTCCTAAACATCAGTGCCACATTGACCTTCCCCAACCACATCTCCCACCATTGCACCACTGACTCAAATGCCTAATAAAATGTACTCATGCCCCCAGGTTCACCCAAAATAAAACTTCCTCCATGAAGTCCTTCCCAATACCTCAAACATGTATTTCTACCTACTCTAAACTCCCAATTCATTTTTAGTTCTCCTATGATGCACATCTTTCTTCACTACTTATCACAGCTGCATTGATTTTAGATTATATTCTAAAGGTGGGGGACAGTGCAGAGAACAAGAACAAGCTCAGCGTTTCTATGTGGCCTGAGGACTCCATGCCAATCAGGCAGGCTGGGCCATAACGCTCTGCTACATGAAAGGAGGTATGTGAGTAATAGAGTGGGAATCCAGAGTATACTGACTTTAAACATCCAAGAAAGTGTACCTTCCTTTTTCTTCAAAGTAAATGAAATATAATGCCTGTTTGTCTAAATTATCTATGAGCCTGTTTAATTAGAGCAGTGACATTTTCCTGACTGACAGCCAAATATGTGCTTAAAAGAGCATTTACAGATGTTTGTGGACTCGACAAAACTAATCTGATAAAGGTCTGATTTAAATCAACCAGATCCAGAAAATTGGTAGTTATGACTGATACTTCATCTTTAACCTCAACATGTGGGAGAAAGCAATGCCATTTCAGTTTGTTATCAGGGCATCTGCCCCTCACCGTGAAAAGATTTTCATGTTTTCAGAAGGAAAAGAAAACACTGGAAGAGACGTTTTAAAGCCCCATAAAACCTGAGATAACTATTTTACTGGGCCAGGATGGCTTCAAGTCAGGTCGTCACTTGTACAGTGACACCTGGAATGGTAAATGACATCCAGTAAGTGAACTCCCAACCCAACCAGCCACACCCAGACCTTGGCAGGGGATGGTGATTATGACAGAGGTCTTAATCATCCGTTGCTTATATTTAAATGTCAGTGGCTTGAACTTATCAAGAGCCAGCCAGTGAACCCTTTCATGCAATCTTCACGCACAGCAGTGACCTCCAAGAAACCCATGTCAGCTCTGAAGTTCACCACGGTTCAGTTGCCAAATTCAATGACAAAGAAAATGCTGTAGTTTCCCCCATGATGGCTCAAAGTACGGAGTATTGATCAGGTACTGATGTCACTCAACTTCCAGAGACAGAATTAGAAAGGCAGAGGGGAAAACAGCCTTTGCAGAGTGTAGGCGCTAAGTCGTGCGGTCATGGCCAAAGGGCACGGACTTGATTATTTACCAAGAACTGAAATATGTCAGTTTGAACAGATCACACAACTCCCCTTTTAGACTTAACATGTATCACCGCAGTTATATCCTGTCTTTTCTCAAACCACCACACCCAGCGTTCAGTGATTCTCCAAGGCTTGCCCCCACTCTCTTCCCTCCACACGCAGCTTTCTTACCCAGACAGTGGATTCCATCTCCCTGGTAGCCTTCTGAGCACCAGCAGACATAGCCACCTTCTGTATTGACATACTTGGAGGATGTGGGAGGGCAAACGGAGAGACCCATCTCACATTCATCTACATCTGTGGGCAAAACGATGAGCTAGTGAAATATGTACGCGATCCTGGTATGAATGACTATATTAGGAAAGTGAAAGCGTTAGTCGCTCAATTGTGTCTGACTGTTTGTGAGCCCATGGACTGTAGCCTTCCAGGCTCCTCTGTCCATGGAATTCTCCAGGCAAGAATACTGGAGTGGGTAGCCATTCCCTTCTCCAGGGGATCTTTTCAACCCGGTGATCAAACCCAGGTCTCCTGTATTGCAGGCAGATTCTTTACTGTCTGAGCCACCCAGGGAAGCCCATAGTGGGAAAGAATGGTATAATCTTACATACACACATCTAGCCATCGACAGGTACTGTTTGCAAACATAATGCGAGCCCTGCATGTGGACATAAAGTTCATTTCTGTATCAATTTTCACAGATTTCTCAGTGTTTGACTAGCTAAGTATGTGTAAGTAAATCACTTTGTGCCAGAGTTTCAAACCATAAGAACATTTACAATGGCCGTCAAATAAAAGAGAAACCTATAGAGCCGGGGTGGGAGGGGAGTTTGGGGAATGGAAACGTATATATGCACGGCTGAGTTTCTCTGCTGCTGTGCCTATGGAACTATCACAACATTGTCAGCTGGCTACACTCCAAAATAAAATTAAAAATTAAAAAAAGAAACCTATCCAGCAAAATCTATTTAATAAATTAAAACTTATGATCTAAGCCTTTGTTTTTATTGGAATTGGGGAGTTTATAAATTTGACTTGAACTCGCATTCATGCTTCTAAAGCGAATTATAAACTCTTCTTCTTAATATCAACTATATATATTATGGAATTCTAATATAAACTCAATGTATTAGAGCATATACTTTATGTTTCATTTTTCTATTCATATATCCACTACCTTTTAGCTAATATCAAATAATCTACTCACACCTGAGGATAACATAATCCTTCTGGAGATTTTGAGTCAATACAATCTGAGAGAATCTTTTTTATTCACTATTTTCCAGATATGTGTATTTGGATTTTGCTTTTACCACAACATTGTTTTCCATCTCTGGCAAATCCTTTCAAACACTGACATGTGACAACCTCTCCCTCTGAAATGCACTCAGCCTGTGTACTGCATCCAATGGCATCACAGTCTTCATTTTCTGCAAACAGAGAGAACCCTATTAGATTATTTTCAGATCTCAGAGGAAAAAAAATGGACTTTAATGCTTTGCATTCTACAGAACATTCTAGAACTTCCTTTGTCAAGTTCTGGGGCAGGTTAGCCTCCAAACAGAAACACCATGTTGATCTGTAATCTGTATCTATATCAAAGGATCCACAAGCCATATGTTTCTGTTTACATGCTGTCAACAAATCTTTAGTCTTAAAGAATTATGTGGTGTTCAAAACCCTTCTGTGAACTTATTTATAATTTTTTAAAGAATTTGCAAATTTGAACTATAACATTTCTAGGAGTAAATGGACTCAAATTTTTAAAATTGTATTGCTTTATTTGAGAATTCCCAACCATCATGAAGGGGTCAACATATTCTTATCTCCCAAAGATAACATGTAGCAAGTAGGTCTATGTATCAACATAGCAAAGCGATTTGATCATAAAAAGATTTACTGTCAATTTACTAAAACTATGTTTCATATATAATAGAACATGTATGTCAAAATGTACATTTTACTATCAAGATTTACGCCGTGACTTGCAAACCTCTAGGCACTTTTACAGAGTCATGAACCATACAAACTAAATGCTGTAAATGGATCATTTCATTTCATACTCCATTGAAATGCAAACGCCCCAGGGAACAGAGTTGCCTGTTGAACCATGAACATGAGCAAGTTTTTTGTTTTTTTTTTTTTCCTTTAGCTACTTATGTATGAAATCATTCTCCAAATGCCTCCTCTCTGTTGTAGTTGGGGGTATCTGACATACCACAGCAGGATATAAACTATCTTCTGTCTTTTCACTGGTAAACTTGCTCATCTGAGTATAGAAGAGGTCAAGAAACCCTCCAAAGTGGCAAATAAATTAAAGAAAGTTAAATGATCTAAGTAGGGCTCAAGCCCCATGTGAATGCAGACATCGGGTAATTACATTTGACTTGCTTAGCTATTTGAAGAAAAAGATTTCTTTTGTGGGAACACATGCCTTTCATGCTTGCTTGGTCACCTCCTGTCACTTGTGACTCTTTGAGATGGATAAGTTCAGCCTAAATCAATTATCCATTGGATTCAGCATTTATTTGGAAGACTAGCTCCCAAATCACAAGGCTGTTCAGAATGTATGGTGGACAGCATCCAATTACCCAAGACATTTTAAGTCACTAGGGGAATTAGAATATGATTCAGGAATTATTTGATAACTTGCAATCCCCCAGGCAATGAAAAGTAATCAACATGCGTTTGCAGTTGGGGGGTAGGCCATAGCCAAAGTTCTTTTTGCCACCCACTGGTGCCAGAAGGAGCGAATGCCTATGCTCCACGTGTCTCCTCTCTAAAATACAACGACAGTTTCTGTCCAGTCTACTTCACATGTTGTTTTAAGAATTTGAAGAAAAAGTGATTAAAAAAAAAAAACTTTTGAGAATTTTGAAATATACATATCTAGATAAGGGTGATAAAGGAGAAGAGCATTGTGGTGGCCTGTATCAGAATTAGCCTTATCACATTAGAAAAGACTCTGTGGTCAGCTAGTAAAACTAACAAAATTCATTCATTCCAAAATGCCTACTATGTGTCAGATCCTCATGAGGGCCAAAAATACAGTGGTGGAGGATATAGACAAGAGTTCTGCTTTCTTACATGATTAATTACTGAAGTATATGTGTGATGAGCACAATCAAAAATAATACTGGGTTCCAAGAGGGCTGAAACAGCTCTCGTATTGCCTGGTCAGGAGACTAGGAAAGTCTTTCTGAGAAAGAGCATATTATGTTGAGATATGAAGGATTCACAGGACTTGGTGGGGAGGGGGTTAGAAAGAACACAGTAAGTCAGGAAAACAACAGCTGCATGTTACAGCAAGGCCTATGCAATGGAAGAAGGCCGTCGAAAGGGGGGATAGAAGGGCACAAACTAAGGCTGATGAGGTGGATACAAGTTAGTTTCTCTAGGGCTCAACAGGCTACATTAAGAATTCCACATTTTAGTCAGGAATTTAGAAGCATTTGTGATTTTAATAAATTTGACAATGAAACTTTCTATGATTGAATCACTTTGCCATGTGGTACACAGATCTACTTGCCACATATCATTATGTGTCTTTGGGAAATAAAAACATATTGACCTAAAATCTAATATAAAGTTTTCAAACTCTTTTTATTATAACTACTTGCTTGAAATGAAAATTTCACTACAAAACATAAGTAAGACCTCTTAACCTCTCACAGGTACAACTAAAACTTCACAGGTTAAGACAAAATAGAATAAAATCCAGGGAAGGAAAGATGAGGCAATTCACCAGGACAATTTCATTCATTCTGCAGGAGGCAAAGTACAGTCTCCAGGTACGAAGCCAAACCTAGCCTATTATATGTGTATTCCAAATCTCTGGCCATTTTGTCACTCACTCATTCCATCCATGTGGCCTAGTTTACCATCTGTCATTCACCTTGGTTTTTGAGTCCCCCAAACATTAGGCTTTCAAAATATCTTCTATCAACTTAGAGGAAGGTTCTCTATACTGCTAATATTTATTATCTATACTGTTTTATCCTATCATATGTTTGTTTCTGTAGCAGACTGTGACTTTGGAGGCTGGGGCTACGTTTAGCTCAGCATGCTATCACCAGCACCAGCATATGGCAAATAAATAGTCACCAGATGAGTAATATTCCTAACATAACTATGTTTCCAGTACTTCTTTTCTTGACATGAATTACTGATAACTACTCAGTCATAATTTTCAAAAGTTTTGGTCGAGTCATTAACTTAGTAATATAGCTTAGTTTCAGTTTTCAAATCTGTAAAATGATAGATTGTGATAAGGGTCAAATTAGAGAATATATTTAAAGGATCTGGTAAACTCTAAAGCTCTGTAAAAAATTGTTACTAAAAATATTCACCTCTTTGTATTATATAAAAAATCACACTGATAAATTCCTATAAAGAGGGATAAGAGGTTCCGGGGCCTTGTTAACTATAGCTTGCCAACCACAAAGGTTGTGGTTGAGTGTATATGAGGTCCTAATATGGAGTTCTCCAATTGATTTTTAAGCCACATACTGTGTTAAAATTAAGACTTACTCAGAAATACAAATACATAATGTGTTTCAAAGCAGAGCTGCACTGACTGAATGGCAGAGACCTAGCATGAAGAAGAGGTGGGGTTTGCAGGAGCTTTAGGGCTGAGCTAAGCCCTGTTTGAAAACCACTAGCATCATGAGTGAACAGAGTATGAAAGAATTAGGTTCCCTAAAGTTGTTACATATTGAATATGTTCTTTAGCATCTTGGTGATAAGTGTACAATAGAGAAGAATAAAATCTAATATTTGTTGTTTGTGGACTTCTTGGAGCAGCTGAAGCAACCAACCTACCATGCCCGAGGTCAGGGGCGGCGGTCGAGAGGAGCAACCCCACGTCCAAGGTCAGGAGGGGTGGCCGTGAGAAGATACCCCTCGTACAAGGTAAGGAGCAGCAGCTGTGCTTTGCTGGAGCAGCCGTGAAGAGATACCCCACGTCCAAGGTAAGAGAAACCCAAGTAAGATGGTAGGTGTTGCAAGAGGGCATCAGAGGGCAGACACACTAAAACCAGAATCACAGAAAATTAGCCAATCTGAGCACAGGACCACAGTCTTGTCTAACTCAGTGAAACTAAGCCATGCCGTGTGGGGCCACCCAAGACGGTTGGGTCATGGTGGAGAGGTCAGACAGAATGTGATCCACTGGAGAAGGGAATGGCAAGCCACTTCAGTATTCTTGCCTTGACAACCCCATAAACAGTATGAAAAGGCAAAATGATAGGACACTGAAAGAGGAACTCCCCAGGTCGGTAGATGCCCAATATGCTACTGGAGATCAGTGGAGAAATAACTCCAGAAAGAATGAAGGGATGGAGCCAAAGCAAAAACAATACCCAGCTGTGGATGTGACTGGTGATAGAAGCAAGATCCAATGCTGTAAAGAACAATATTGCATTGGAACCTGGAATGTTAGGTCCATGAATCAAGGCAAATTGGAAGTGGTCAAACAGGAGATGGCAAGAGTGAAC